TTTTTGGCTATTGCTACAAATATACTCCAGCGACTTAAGACTGCTTTTGTGGTCCAGGGTCACATATATCTCATGTACCATTGATTGAATACATTATGTACTGTTTAGGTATTAATATGTACAGTTTAAGTACTAATATGCACCTTTAAGAAACTAAAATACACTCTTTAGAGGTAAATATGGAGCAAAGGTATGTCTTTTGAAAAGTTACCGCCCTAAGTGACTGCTTTTTTCCTGAAAGTGCATCAGTTCACAGCTCTAGTCCTTCCCTGGTGCCATATTCCACCACGCATTTTTATCAGTGTCCTTTGTGGTATCTTTTATGTTTACACTCCTGTTACACTCCTGTTCTTGTGTTCCTGCTATATACAGTATATATATATATATATATAATTTTGTTTTTTTTACAGAAAGCTGCTGGCTAAAGTGCTAGTACTGAGGACAGCCGTGTTCGTTCCACTGCATGTCATATACTTCGTGGGAACGCTTCGTTTTCAGAGCCGTACGGCCATTTTCTTCACTCACAAGCTGACGTAAAATAGGAGAACAATAGACTTAGCCATGGTCATGCCATCCACGGAGAAATCAAATGCACCAGGTAATCAGGAGTTTATGGATATTATTACATTTGTCATATTATGGGTCAGTGTTTTCATGTTTTGAAGGATTTGGAAATTGATCATTTCCATGTATTATCAGTCTGCAGGTTAAGACAGTATGCATTATTACTGGCTTTTCTTTGGACATCATTCTGTTTGGTAAGGCATTTTAAAGCAGATTTTAAAATAATTATCAAATAAATAAACATTTTATACCTAACAATACAACAAGGCTGTGTGACATTAAAATCGATTTGAATTGAAAAAGCATTTTAAATTACAATTCAATTCCTAAATCTGAATTTAGGCATATGAAATTAGCAAACAAATGCAGAATGAAATGAAAGTACAAATTTGTGGAACTGCTGTAATTGTAGTTTTAAAGTAAATTCAATAGGTTTTAGCAGGAATCAATGCATTTGTATGTTTGGTATTTATGCTTGCGCTCTCTGAATCATTTGAGACATTTTTTTCTCTCAGCTTAGCTTTTTTATTTCATTTTATGTATTTATTTATTTATTTATTTTAATTTCACAGTTGGGTCATTATTTGTAGGCTAAATATTAGAAAAATCACATGATTATTTCCATTTAGCATAGAGGCTTCTCCTGACCACTCGCACTCTCTGTTGCAGAAAGATGTCAGTACACCATAGTCCACTGACATTAATCTAACTCTCCTGTTTGGGTTGTTTTGTTGGACAAAATGGTGGATTCGGCATTATGATTGGTCGGGTCACCTGTCAATCAAACTCCAGGCAAAGGGTGAAATCCTGCCCTACATTCCAGAAGCCGGCTCACTCGGATGTACGTCACAATAGGGAAGAAAAGATTATCGCAACTTCCGTTTCATGCCAACTTTAAGTGCTCTAAATGTATTTATATCATCTGTCCCTTACGAAAATTAACCATGGTTTTATTATAGTAAAAATGTAGTAACCATGGTTTTTTGGCATATTGATTACCATTTGTACAACCACATTTTTACTACAAATACCATGGTTAAAAAATGGATTAAAATCAATTTTTATATTACATTTATTTCATTTAAAAAATTTATAAGATTAATCATAGAAATTATTTATTAATTCAAAATAACCGTTATTTGCAGCTGAAACGTGCTATATAACTTGCGTGCACAACACACTTGACTCCTGATTTTTGCTCCACACATGGATAGTAGTCTCCTCTTTTATTTTCTGATGCCTGTGTTGCATAGCGTGTTCGTTATTTTGGGAGTGGAGCAATGCATGTTTCTTTTAGGTAGGGTTGTGTTTGTTTGGCTGGCGATTTCAAATACCAACAGTATTTCTCAGAAATCACTAACTGCACCTGTAAGCTGGCATAGACGGTATTTTAACACCAGTTGCACGTAGAAATAAATGGAATTTGGTCTGAATGATATACTGATCCTCTCTCAGGTTCTGTGGGCATTGAATGGTGGGATTCATATAAAACAATTTCAGCCCCCCAGACCTGTACCAGTTCCTCGAAATAACAATTCATCCATAATATCAGCGGTTGACATGGGAATCAGCGATGAGGAGTGGGAAAGACTACAGAAGGCTCTGGACTGGCCTATTCCAGATCAAGAAATCACTCATCTGATTCAGAGCACAAGTCCAGTCCACTCAACTTTCTCTATTGTGGGACTCAAAGAGAGTTACAAAGTGGGAGAAATTATCTCTGTTATTATCACAGCCAGAGACCACAACAAGAACCTGAAAAGATATGGAGGAGACTTTTTCAAAGCAAAACTTTTCAATACAGAGCTAAAGGTGTGTTTATTTTATGACATATTTTTTAAACACATTTTTTAAAATAAACAAATAAATAAAATCAATATAAAGAAATTTTCTGCATTACATTTATTCTTTTCCATTTCTCTTGAAGGCGAG